TAGCTGTGTGATACTGAACAAGTCATTTAACCCTGTTTCCCTCATCTGTGAAAGGAGCTGGAGAAGGAAGTGGCAAACCACTCCATTATCTTTCTCAAGAAAACCCCAAATGGTGTCATAAAGAGTCACATACAACTGAAAAGGACTAAACAACAACAATTTTACTTCTCACAAAAATCTTTAGTTAACCCAGATATGGGTCTTTCCTTGAGTCCATTTGTGGGTAGTATGAGTGTATAGTCAAATACCACAGGCAATTCTAGCCACAAAGAAGGAAAATGACCACGAAACTTTCTTCCTAGTTCAAGGGTGGGGTCCCAATTGCTGGCTCATTGTTAGAGATTATCCCTCTGCCAGGGAATTTATTTCACCAGGTATTCATCCTGTATTTCTGTTTAAAAATAAAAAATAAAAACAGGAAGAAAAAACAAACTTCTAAGGATAAAGTGCTTCAGAAAGGTACTGATCTGCATTGGTAGACAGACCAATAGGAGCCTCATACTCAGAGCAGGCTCAGTGTGCATTTACTGTTGCCCAACACATCCAAAAGAGGCTGGGGGACTTGCTTCAGAAAGGTGTGCTGATTTGTAATGGGAGGGTCCAGCTTCCTAACTGAGAGCATGCACAGGTGTTACCTGTTGAGCTCAAACTGAAACTGCTTACATAGAGCACTAACCAAGTAATTTGCTCCTTTTCCTTCTCTGGTGGTCAGGATGCTCCAGGTGAGAGAATGGCCTTGTCCCCTCTTTCAGGAAAAGCCATGGAGCATTTTCCTTCATGCCCAGTCCAACATGTGGCCTATGAATAGGGCCTCTATTCTTTGCCTCCTTGTGTTGGTTCTTTTTTGCTTTTAGGAAAAGAAGTATTAGTGATGCTTATGATCTTATGAGTTTCAAAATGTCAGAAGAGGGACCTCAAGTCAAGGCACTGGAATCCATGCTGGAGCCCAGATGAGGTAGGAGCAGAGGCCCTGAAGAGCCTAGCAGTGGTTAAAGCACCAGTTCATGCAGCTACCATGCTGCAAAAGGAAAGGAACCTGGTGAGATGAGTGGTTGGTAGCAAATGTTTTATGTAGGAGACCATTCTTCCCAGGGACTGAGGTGATAGGTGAGAAACCCCCCACACACACACACCAGCTCAAGGGTTATTTTATGCTTCCATTCTTGCTATATTTTCTCAGTAAATATCCCCTTTTAAAAGCTGAATAACAATCTCATAGAACTCATGATGAAACATGTTATCTACCTCCAGATAGAAGAGCTAATGAACTCAAGAGTACAGATTGAGACATGTTTTCTTCTCTTTTTCTTTCTTTCTTTTTTTTGGACATGGTTAATGCCTAAGTTTATTTTGCATGACTTATACACATTTGTAATGTATGTGTTTTCTAGCCTTCTCAATGGAATCCCCTCAAGGGGAAGGAGAGGAAGAAGGGAGAGATTTTGGAATTGAAAACAAAGTTGAATTAAAAATAAATTTTTTTTAAAAAAGCTAATTGATGTTACTAGGTTCAATGTAACTGGGGCTCTAATCATCGATGACTGATTTGGGGTAGAACATTCCCCAGTTTAAGGAAAAGTTTACATTACTGGTCTTGCTATATCTCCTCCATAAATATTCCTTTGTGAAACCTAATTGATGTTAACTGGTTAAATGAAATTCTAATCACTGGTGATTAACACTGGGGAGAACACACCAAAAAATGTGTACGTGAGCTGACAGCATTAAAAAAAAATCACCTTGACCCCTCAAGGATACCCCCAGAATCCAAAGGAGGGGTAGATTTGTTTGGGAATGTGGGGGGGGGGAGGCTTGACACATTATTTGTGAGTGTGAATTGGGATGAAATTCTTTAGAGTCTATAAGGTCAACAGCTAGAGAGATAAAACATTTATTAAGTGCTTACTAGAAATCAGGCCCTGTGCTAATAAACCCTAGGGATACAAATACAAGCAAATAAGACAATCCTTATTCTAATGGAGCTTGCATTCTAATAAGGGAGGGGAAGGTGGAAAATAAAGAAGAGCTGGGGGGGAGGGGTGCAAAGAGGGAGAGAAAAGCAGAGCAAGAAAGTTGATGGCAAGGTAGTTAGTGAGATGAAAGAAAATTGCAGAGTGAGTCAAAGAGTGAGATAAAGCATGGCCTCAAGGTGGAGGTTTCTACCTCATCAGGAAATGTCTCTATACAAATGAAATCATAGGACCAGTAATTCCGTCCCTCCTCTCCCTCCAATTCTTATAGAAATTCTTTAAGATTTCTAAAACTATGTCACGTAGGAAAAGCAAGCGTAAAGAGTATATATATATATATATTTCTACTGGAAAATAGTGTTTCTCTGTTGAATTAGCTAGTAGTCTTAGAATATACTTTTAATCATTGTGAAAAAAAAGTCTTCTTAAAAGAAAAAGAAAAAGCTTTCTATTCCTGTTTTGAATTTATAACACAAATAAAGGTTATGTAACTGTGTGCCTTTTATTTTGTCTTGTTATGGTTGGTAGGGACTGTTTTCCCTGTAATAAATCATTCCTGCATTCCAATTAAAGATCTTTTGGTCATTTGGATTGTTTTTTTTTAAATGTACAACTATATTCTAACATTTTAGTGTAGATTTACCTTAATGACATTGGTCTATAATTTCTTCTCACTTTGGCTTTGTCTGGTTTTCATATCAATATTAAATATGCCTCATAAAAGGAACTGAATAACATATCATTTTCCTCTATATTCCAAAACAGTCCAGCATTTATTTGTAAATCCATGTAAATCTATCTTTTCACAAGTCTTAAAGATTTCTCTGAGATTGATCTATTTAGACTATAAACTTCCTCTATACATTTTAGTATTTTGTATTTTTTGTAAATAATTCTCCGTTAGCAAAGAGATGGATAATCTTCTCTGATAAATGACTTAAGTTCTTTTGATGTTGCTGTGATGACTCATTGTTAGTTATTTCAATGATCGGGATAATTGCTTATCTTACATTATATGTTATTCAGTCCAACATAACATATTTTATGATATTTTATAGCAAATATGTTGTCATGTCATCTGCCTGTATTACCCCCTACTCAATAAAATCCAGTATTTCTTATTATCTTTGGGACCAAATACAAAATCCGTTGCCACTTAAATCTCTTCATGACCTGGCTCCTTACTACCCTTTCAGTCTTCTTACACATTATTCCCCTCCATGTACTCTGCTATCCAGGAATACTGGCCTTCTTGTTGCTATTGAGAAAAAAAAACACTTCATCTCTAAGTCTTAACACAATCTATCTTCTGTGATGCTTTCCCCTTTCACCTCTACCTTTTAATTTCCATAGCTTCTTTTAAGACTGACCTCCAATAATACCTTATTTTGAAGGCTTTTCCTGGTCATTCCACTCACCTCAGTGTCTTATTTGTGGAGACTGCATTCCATCTACTCTCTTCATATCTTATATGCACTCAGTTATTTGCCTGTTTGTCTATCAGAACGTGAGTTCCTGGAAGGTGAGGACCGTTTTGCCTTTCATTGTATCCCTAGTCCTAAGCACAATACCTGGCATGCCATAAGGACTTAATAAATGCTTAGGGACTAAATGACTACTAAGGACATCTTTTTGTCAACTAAATGAAGAAAGCTGTCTCTTGTTTAATAGTGACCACACTAAAAGAGGGAACAGTCATTTTCAGGAAGACATCTTATTCCAGGCAATGTGCAACTGTGAACATTGACCTCTTTCATATGTAACTGAAAAGATCCTAAATGAAGTTATTTGCTTCTGTTTTACCACTGCTACGGAATTTCATCATCTGCTTCACCTGATATAGGAATTTCTCCTATAACTTATACGAACATTGGCTACCTTGACTTCACTTAAAGAAAAACATCTAGTGAGGAAAAACTCACAGTGACTTGCAAACAGGAAGGGTTTAATAAATACTTTGAAATACATTAAACTGAACTTACTATCTCCTATTCCACTCTTCAAAAGTTCTAATTCTTAAGAAGCTTTTTCCTTACAAAAATCTGTTTTTCTAAAAAAAAAAAAAAGTAAAAATGAAATTTAAAATCTGTCTTTCTGCAAGGAAGACCACTGCTTTTGGTTGTACCTTTTGAGGCCAGGAAAACATCTAACCCCTCTTCTATATGAAAGCCTTCCAAATATTTAAAGAAAGCTATTTACTTACTTCCCAAGTCTTTTTTTTAAGGCTAAATATCCTTAATTACATTAAAATAATCCTCCTAAAACATGATCTCAACACCTTTTACCATGCTGGTTATCCTCTTCTCAATACTACCCAGCTTGTCAAGGTCCTTAAAATGTAGGTCCAAGAACAGAATACAATACTCTAGATGTGATCTGACAAGTGCAAGTAGAGCAGGACTGTCACATACCCAACCCTGGATGCTACATCTCTCAATGTAGTCTAAGATCAAATTAGCATTTTTTGGCTATTTTATCACCTTGTTGACACACGCTAAGCTTATTTATATTTCATTAAAATGTTTTTTAGATGAACCGCTGAATACAATCATCTCCTGTCTTCTACTAGTTAAGTTAATCTTTTGAGAAAAGGCCTAGTGACATGCATGAACACTTTATCTTAAATATAAAAATGAAATATTTCAATAAAATTTGTACACAAAGGATTTGTGGTTTCATCAGCATGGGGAACTTCTACCAATATATATTACAACCCATTTATAAAACTTAGATTAAGTTTTAGGAAGTTGCTTCTAGAGGGAATGAAGCAATTACCCATCATAACCTAAAATGTTTCATGTTTCATGACTTTTTTTTTCAGAAACATGCATAAAAAATGGTCCCTTTACCCAATTTTATTTTTCAGTTCTCCCAACCCTGCCTTGCTCCATCCCTAAGTCCTTTGTATTCTAGAAGCCATTTCAGAAGCAACTGGGTAGATAGGTAGTCAAATCTACCCCAAAGTAAGGGGATTAAATCCCCTCTAGCATTAAGAGTCTAAGAATATTATATAACAGCAATTGTACTTACCTGCTGTGGAAAACATGTTCGTACTGAATGTTCTGTGTACCCAAAAGAAGGGCCTTCAAAAACAGCTGTAGGGAGCTTCAAGACTTCCTTCAGAAACTGGTCAAATTTATTAAATATCATTAAGCCATTGGAATCTGACATCTGAGAGAAAATATCTACAAGCACAAAACAGAATGAAAAAAGTCAGAGCATGCTGTGTTATGTCATGTTATATTATATTACCCTTCTATAAACTACTACATAGCTCTTGGAACTACTTAACAATTTGAAAGTACCTTAAAATAACTGTGATTTTCAGAAAAGGATATAATCTATTTTCACTGTTTCTTGCTGTTACTTAACCGATGGCACACTCTGTGTCAAACATTCACCCTTTTTCCAGCCATGAATGCAACCTAACAATTTAATCTTATGAATGTGCTCATAAGAGTCACCTATATCTATGTACCTTGATCTTTCTTTGCATTTATGAAAGATGCTTTTGTGCACATATATACATATACTTGAGAACTAGTAAAGTGCCATAAGTGCCAATACTAGTGTATGTTGGTAAAGGGTGTTCAAAGGGAATGATACCTGCGTGCCAGGGATATGATGCACAAATATTAGAGCTGGAAGGCCCTTACTGATATCTAGTCTAACTCCTTTATTATATAGATAAGAAAACTGGGGCCTACAGAAATATACTAACTATGTATGATGCAATGGGTAAAGACAGTGTATGTCCATTTTCTGTTCAACGTACACCAAACTGAAATAGGAAGGTTACTGAGAGAAATGACTCTTAAATAACAAATTGTTGGGGAGATCCAGTGTTTTTTCCCTTCCTATATCTTCATTCTCTACTAGGGCAAGCCAGCATCTGAAGGACATTGCTGATAAGGAGATTGGATCAACTGTCTCCTCAATCTTATTCAGACTCCACCCAAGTGGGGAAGCCATTTGTGTTGTACTCAGGCTTTTTTTGGGGGGGAGGGGAGGGGTGTTCCTGGTAGTGAAAGTGATTAGCCCCTCATTGGAATGGGTCCACTTCTCATTATAATATTAATTCTTCTTATTAATTGTTGACCACCACTCTCTCTTCCAAGGGCATATAAGTATTGAGTGAGTTTGAGGATTGTTGTCAGGATCAAATGAGATAACATTTGCAAAAAAAAAAAAAACAGTGCTTAGTACAGTGCCTGGTCCATAGTAGGTACTATATAAATGGTTATTCCCTTCCCTTCCCCTCTCCCTAGCCACTTCCACATAAGGGTAGACAGGTAATCAAGGTAACATTTTTCTGCTAAATTTGTTTTACCTTCTATTTGGACTTCTATGATGCCAGCTAGTTAATCCTTTTCCACTTAAGAGTTAATATTGAATTCTCCTTAGAAACAATGAGGCTAGGGTGAGGAAGTGGAGGAAGAAGAATAACCACACATTTAGAAACCATGTCTTCACTGAATGAATAGGAGTTTAGGGATTAGACTCATACCAACAGGAAGTTCTATGGATCACAGATGGATAAACTCTTAAATCAAACAAACATAATAAAGGCAGAGCAATCAGCTCTTCCCAAATCCTTTTCTCAAACATGAAAGGTCATCCCATTGAGAACATAAAGGAAGTAGCAAGAAGAGAAACACAAAAATGAGATTCTCAAGAACCAAACAGAGATGGGCTGGGATTATCAATATAGTTGCTGTCTAGGGACCCACTAAATCCAGGATCCCAGAGCCTCAGAACTAGCACTGACCTGGACCTGGTCCTTTCCTCCACTGGCATCTGCATCTAGTCCCTATCTCCCACTATTGAATCAGAGGGATAGTGGCTGCTAAAGTCCTTTGCCAACTTCCCTCCTGTACTAGAACAAGTCCAAAAGCCTGATCCATGGATCAACACAAAGAGGAGACCCCAGGATGATCTAACCAGAGGTCAGCCTGAGTTAATACAAACCCATGGAAACCATTCCATGTTCACAGAACATTCAGACCTGAGTATAAAAATACTTATGTGCTCTGAACTGACCACAATCTAAGAAATTCCTGGCCCACCTTAACCAAGCTCAAGAAAAAATGAAGGGAACTCTCATCCATTAGGCCCAATTTCCCCCAAATCACATGGCAATAGGCTGAAAGCTGCTGGATATCCCCACTTCTCAGTCACAGTATTTTTGGCTAGTGGCAGAAGACCACATTCCCTGCAGCCCAGTCTCACATGTTAGTAGGCACTGGAGAATACAGGCTTAGAAGCACCTATCCCTGTTTTCCAGAAACTGACAATAAGGCTCATGCTCCCACTTGTAGGGGAGTGCAGGTGGGGCCAACTTCCTTACCAATTTGAAAACTTCTTTAAAGTTGAACCAATTGAAAACTTCAAATTCAAATTCTTTGAACCAACTTCTCAAGCTAAGAGGACTCTGCCTTGGCCTTTCCCTAATAATTAGATTATAAACATTGCCTGAACCCTTGCTAACTCCAAAAGTAGACAAAAATCTTAAACCTGGTCCAAAAATTCCAAATCATACCTAGGCTCTTTTACACTCCCATCGTGGGATAGGAAAAAATGTGCAGTACATTAAAGAAAACCTACAGTTTAATAAAGATATTTTGCAAAGTGTAAGAGCTCCTCCAGAAATCCATGTTGAAGCATCAATGGATGGGACCAAAAATGATCCAAGGCAGTTTTCAAAAACTACAACAGACAAAGCAACAACTAGAGAAAGTGTTAATTAAAGGAAAAACTCATTTAGTAATAGAATTGAAAAGGTCACTAATGAATTTGGAAGACAAAATAATATATTTGTAGGATAAAGCAAGAAGCACAGACAACAGATTAACAGGAATCTCAGAGGATCCTCAGAAAAGAAAATAACAGCTTGCATTTAGTAACAGCTAACAGTTACATAATGCTTCAAGGTTTTTTTAAGTGCTTAGCAAATATCTCATTTTATCCTTACAACATCAGAGGGAGTTTGGTGCTGTTATTATCCTCCTCTTTACAGATGAGGAAACAGGCAGACAGAAGTTCAGTAATTTGCCCCAGGTCACACAGCTAGTAAGGGTCTAGAAGACATATTTGAACCAGGGGCATCCTGACTCCAGGTCCAGCATCCTATCCACTGTGCCATTTGGCTGCCACAGCTAGAATACACAAGTAACTAGAGGACATCTTTCCTTAATGGCTTTGATCAAGGAACTTTCTACAAGCAGAAAGAATATACAAGACACCAGAAAGAAGAAATTCTAAGCTTAATCTCAAAGTTATATAATCATAAAATACATACAAGAAAATATTATTTAGTCATCAATTTTAAAAAAATTTTAAATCACAGGAAGAAATATGAATTAGAGGAAAAACATCAAAACTGTACAAAAATATACAAGATTTTATAAATATGTATATGGGACAAGACTCCAAATTTATATGCCATGTAAGCATGATTATATTATTCACACACAGAAGAACTCACTTGAAAGATAAATAAAATATGGGAAAATTTCTTAACAACTGCCAACATGAAAGATATTCCTAACAAGCAGGAGAAAAGGAAATTGAAATGACTGAATAATTTATTTAGGAAAATAATAACATACCTGAAGCCTGTTGTTGCCTTATGTTAAGATTTAATGTACAGATGTTAATATATACATTTAACATCTAGAAACTTTTCTAACTATAGTAGAAATAATTTGTAATAAAATGTACATTACACTAATCAACAGAAAGTGTAAAACACATTAAAATCCATATATCCACTATTAAAAAAGGACTTAGCAAACATGAAAAAGTCATAAGAACAAAAAAGAGAAAAGAGGAAGAAAGAAGATAACAATCCCAAAGACAAAAAGCTCCTCTAGCTGGACTAATAAATGGGGTTTAAAATTCAAGGAAGTATAAGAATTAAAAGTTTGAAGCCTAGTAATACTTTTTTTTAATCTCTATCCTTGAGAGACTTTAGGAATTATTCTTCTATCATTGTTTACCCATGGACTTGATCAGAGTACATTACACATTCCCCTTTTTCTCCACCTCCCCTTTCTCTTTATGTATCTTCCCATTCTGCAACTTCATCCTACATAATACACTGAATTTACCTGAAGAGGCTATTACAGGATTTAGTATATGGTGTTTGAAGGCTGATCCTCTACCATGACTTCTCCCATTTCTTTACATTCTACTTCTGAGTCTATTTGCATATGTACTTTTAGAAAGAAATCTCATAATAGTCTCATGATTGTTATTGTCATTTCTTTAACTCAATAGATGTCCTCCTCATTCTGGATTTTTTCTTGTAACACTCTACTGATAGGGTAATTTGTTTCATTTCTAATTCATTCCTTGCTTATGGTTATTTACTTTCTTGAGTTTTGAGATGTTTCCAAGTCAAACAGTAAATTCGCACCTGTTTTGTTTTGTTTTGGTAGGAATGCTTCAAATGCCTTTTATTGTCTTTTTTTACTGTCCTTTTACATTGATGATTATGCTCAGATTTGGAGAATATGTCATTTTAGGTTGTATTCTGAGCACTTTTACTTTTAAAAATATATTATTTCACTTTCTTCTGCCATTTCTGGGGGCAGAGAAGTCCTCTGTTACTAGAATCTCCATTCCTTTATATTCAAAAATAATTTGCATACTGCTTACATTACTTGTTTGTAACTGGAACTGTTAGGTTTAACCACTCTGTCTCAGTGTTTTTTTTTCCCTAGAAACAATGTGTACATTTTTTAAAATCTGTGCTTTGTCTTCTGTATTCAGAAGTTCTGGGTAGTTTTCACGTATTATATTTCACACTATGGTGTTTAGGTTTTTTAATTTGGCATGACTAACAGTCCTTAACACATCCCATCTTCAAGATCAATGAGTTTTGCTTGAATAAAGGTCATATGTTTTTTTTAATGTTAAAGAGTTAGAAAAAAAATAACAAAATTAATCCGGAAGAACAAAAGGTCAAGAACAACAAGGGAATCAATGAAAAAAAAAACATGAAGGAAGCAGCCTAGCTGCACCAGATTTCAAACTACATAGCAAAGCAGTAATCATGAAAACAATCTGGTACTGGCTAAGAAATAGACTGATGAATCATTGGAACAGATAAGGTACCCAATACACAGTAGTAAATGACCATAGTAATCTAGTGTTTGATAAACCCAAAGATCCAAGTCATGGG